AGAGGGCAGGACCCCCTCTCCAGCTGGGAAGTGCACTGAGCAATTTTGAGCCAAGTGCCTTCTCACTGCCCCACCTACCCCAGTGGGGGGGGACAGTAAAAAGAATTCCAGCCAAGAGAATTCCCTGGGTTTGTTTTCTTTTGTGAAATACATTTTGAGAGCAAACGTTCTTTCCTCAAATTCACAAAAAGAGGTTGGGAGGGGGATGCAGGATGAGTTTTCCACACAGTGTAAGAACAGGCAGCCCTCTTTGATTTCCTTATGGTCTCTGATAGTCCGGCCGGCTGGAATCCAAGTCCAGTTGTCGCGCTGGCTGGGGATGCTGGAGGCTGTGGTCCGTCTCACCCAAAGGTGCGTGGGGAAGTGAGGCACACAGACCTAATTGCAGCCAGCAGTGAGTGGGGTGGGTTAGCAGAACATCTGCTGCTTCCTGGCACCGTTGGAGAATTAAGCACTCCTGAAAAACAATTCTGCCCCTCTCCGCCTGCCCTTCATGGAGACGGGATCAATCTGTGGCTTCGTGTCAGGAAAGGATGTCCCCCAAGGCTGGTCCCTCTGCAGCGGGAGCCTCGAGCCTCACCCATCTCTGCTCGGGTCCACCTGGCCAGGGAGGGCTTAAACGCCGCCCGGATTAGAGCGGGAGCCCAGCGTGTCCCTTCCTCCTGGCTTCGCAGACCAGAGACGTCAGAAGCAGACGTCAGCACTGAAAAGAAGAACATCACTTTTCCGAGAGATGAGGCTAGGCAGGGGAGGGATTAAGGGGGAAACGGAGAGTTTTTGAAGGGTCCTTCCAAAGGAGAAGTGAATTTCGGAGACCGTCTTCAAGGTGTGTGGTTCTTGTCCTCATTTAGTAACGAGATGGCCGAGAGGTGGGCGTAGCACCTTGAGGTCATCTAATCCAATTCCTGCTCTGGGCAGAAATCCAAATTGAAGCACTCCAGACAGATGGCTGTCCGTTCCCTGCTTGAACTCCGCCAGCAAAGAGCAGCCCATGGCTTTGCTGGATCGTTGCTTCGAGTGCTCAATGGCTCTTACTCCTAAGGAGCCGGAACAGCCGTGACACCCGCCACAAGCAATTGCGTTTGGACTGCAGTGTCCACCTTGAGACTGAACTGGAACTGGAAAGCCTCAGAGCTGAATCTTGAACGTCTGCTCCCGCCCGCCGCCTCCTCCCTGTCCCTCGCCTTTTCGAAATGAAGAACTTGGGAGAAATCAAACGCTCGCACGCTCCTTGGGGATCAACTGGGTGGGTCTGAAAAAGGGCATTTTGCAAAGGTTGACTCTGCATCGTGCAAAAAAAATGGCACCGCCCACGTGCCCAAACTCACAGCTCCGCAGCCTGAAAGATCAACGAGAGGGAGCGCTTTCTAGGGTTTCACGGATGCTTGGGAAGAAGCCTGTGGCCCCAAACCGCCTCCCCGATCAACAGTGCTTTTAACATGATTCTTCGCCTGCCCAAATGACATTGCAGAACGAGAGCTTCGCCCCAGTTAAGAAAAACAAGAGCGGTGCCAATAAACTCCAGCCATTGTTTTCCCTTGTGAACTCTGATTATTAAAGTCTCTCCCCCCAAAAAGCCAGTTAGTGTTTGCTAATTATTAATTAGTTTATTAATTAAAGTCATTAATACTGACTTTCCGCCCTGAGTCATTTGAAGTTGGTGGTAAGCAAATC